TATTAATAGGAATTTCATGCATCTGTCATTCATCAATGTCCACCCAAAGTAAATTAAAAGATAATAACTATACCTATTTCAATTTTCTCTCTATCCAAAAATGGAGCATCAGTTTGGGAAATTCATGTGTACATTTTAATCTTTAAAAATAAAAACAACAAAATCAACTCTGAAAGCAGCAACAGTTTGTGTGGAAATGAGATTTAAAAATGGATCGTTATTTTTACAAAATAAGACATTTAGAAATTGCCTAAAACTTGTAGCAAAATGGTTTGAGAGTAGTAAAACACACATTTCACAAATGTGTGAACTTTGAAAACAAATGTTTTCTTTTCTTTAAGGGAATGGTTTAAGAAGTGAAACTTACCTTTGAGGAAACATTATTAATATTTTATATTTATTCATAAACCTCAAAACTTTCTTGTCAACACATAATAAAACTACAGAGTACGTCATTTATAATGAAACAAATGTCAGAATTGAAATCTGCCTTTATAAATCTTCCTTAGATTCGGAGTTTTCTAGAAGTCTGTTATTTTTGGCCAAATTCTGTTGGCTTCTTATCTGAATTGTACTCCTCCCTGAATGATGAATTCTTCCATATTTTGCTTCACTTGAATCTTGTTACCAAGATTCAGCAGGTCAATAAAAAGTCCACCCATGCAAAATACAATTTGTTAACACATTCTTTTTGGACACCAGAGGGCAGAAGAATCACTTAAAGTGCAGGAATTCTCTCAGTGTCTCCCCATGCATCCTCGCGTTTCCAAGCTTATTAACATTGCAGAGCTATGATATCATGGTAAGGCTAGGAGTTTAAGTTTGACCTTTTGTCAAAGAAGTACAGTATTCTGTCAAAGCCAAAAAAAAATCAAAGTATGCAGGGCAAGTTCTAAGCTGTAGTGTTTATTTGGCGATAATGCTGGCAGAACTCCCTACTGGGAGGACAACATTGAATTTAATCTTAATAACAAAACAGATGTAGAAAAAAAGTAAAAGCAAAAGATATCTTTTCCATAATCTATTTTAAAAATTTTAATTACCAAAGGGCTTTTAGTAAAGGTTCTAACTAACCATTTTATAGAAAGCAAATTATTCAACAATGCCTTTATTAAAATAAAACGTGTTCCCCTGAATGACAATAAAAGAAATGACAAGTGCAGAAAGGTTTCAAAACTTCGTTTTTGCTTGTGCAGAGAATAGATCAGTCCCTATAAAAGTAATATAAGCTTCTGTTTGGTCATTCCTTTTTATCGCTTTGAAGGTAGAAAAAAATGAATTTTAACTTGGAGTTAAGTAGACCAAGGTGAATTGCAATCTAACCATTTTACAAGCTGTGAGATCATGAACATGTGCTTACTTTCACTGGGCTTTTTCTTATCCATAAAACTGGGAAAATAATGCCTAGGTTATTTTTTTTTAAGAATATAAAAATGAGATAAAATGTATATGCTTATTACAGGGTCTGGATATAAGAAATGTTCAGTAGTGATTTTTGACAATAGAAACAATCATAACTTTGCATAAACAAAAATTACTAAAATCAGGCTGCTTTAAAACATCAGATAAGAGAGAAGTCAGGAAGTGATGTAAAAGTAAATGCAGATACTTTTAGTTAGTACATTTAGCACCACATCCATCCAGTTAATATAGTAGAATCCATGAATAATTAGGGAATGTTAAGGACTCGGAAAGGAAGCCTTGTCAAAAAACTCCAGCATTCCTCTTCACTTTGCTGCTTTTGGCGATGTGATATTGGGAAAGTTATTTCATTTTTCTGGGCAGCATTTCTTCCTCTGCAAAATGAGGGTGAATTATGTGGTTCCTATCATCCATTCTGGTTCTTACATTCTCAAGTTTTACAAGTGCGGTTACCTGATACACTGTGAAATATAATTTTAATGATTTTATATGTAGAGTTAGTTACATTGGTAAAGTTCATTTATGTAAAACATACTAGTGTAACAGATTTTCACATCCAATATATGATGCTCCTAACTTCAACATCGGAATTTCAAATATAAGGTAGAATGTAGAAAAACACATAAATAGCATTACATGCCAAGAAAAATCTAAGATTTTAAAAAAATGTTTAAGGAAAGGAAATACTGAAGTGAAGAGGCTATCTATTGATGCACGATTTTAGACATTTTTCCAAAGAAGTCATAATGATTTTGAGGAAAATATACACATACATAGTTACCTGCAAATAATTTTCTTCTTTAGCTACCATAGCTTTCTAGGTACTGCCTGAAGAACGGTTAGTAGGTGTGGCTGTCACTGTTCTTACATAGAACCAATTGGATGGGGTTGGTGAATCAAAACTGTTTTAAAACATATGACTATTATTACTTCTATACTCCTAAAAGCAGAGTATATTTATACTGATTTGTGCAAAGGCTCTCCATCTAAAAATAGCATAGACATACTCATGTTTAATTCACTACAACCATGAAGAACCTCTTCCCCCCTTTTTAAGCACGATTTTTAAAAATCCCTTTAAGTTCTATAATATGCCATAATTTACCTGATCAAAGAGAGTTTTCTAGTGGAGCCCTTCAGAGGGAGACTTTGTCTTTCTGTTTCCATTACTGATTATAACCTTAGCAGGGGCTACAGATGAAAGATTAGTTTTAAGGCATACTACTCAACGCTCAACTTCAGATGAAAATGTGTTTGCACATTTAAAAAATTCTCACAGGAAATCTCTGAGGAATATGGATGTGGAGAAAGAATTAAGGAATAATGCTAAGTGGCTCTTCTTTAGTCCTAATTATGCTTTCTTTTCCCAAGTTGTTAGAAAGACATTGAGCATTTCTTTGATGGGTGAGATATAGACTATTTTGAACTTTCCAAGAAAAAATTTCTTTCCAAGAAAATTTCTACAATGTAAACATTGTATTTTGAGCATTGAGCAGTAGAGACCAATATATTTAAGATAATTTGGTGTTTTTCATTGATGGAAACACTGTAGAAGTTCCTCAAAAAAATTAAAAATAGAACTACTGTACATCAATCTCACTTTTGGGTATTTATCTAAAATATTAAATAATGAATATATATATTTAGCATCTGAAAGTTACAATATCACCTCTGGGTTCATTGCAGCACTATTTACAATGACCAAGATATAAGAAAACCTAAATGTCTATCAATCCATTGACAGATAAATGGATAAATGTGATATTGAAATGAAGTTTCATTCAGGTTTAAAAAGAAGGAAATTCTGCCCTACGCAACCACATGAATGATCCTGAGGACATCAGGCTAAATGAAATAACCCATTCAAAGAAAGACAACAGTGCATGATTCTACATATAGACGGTATCAGTGATAGTCATAATCCTAGAATTAAAGAGCGGAATTCCGGTTGCCAGGGGCTGAGGAGAAGGGAACATGAGGAGTTACTAATTAAAGGGCATAAAGTTTCAGGTAATCAAGTTGTAAAAGCTCTAGAGACCTGCTGTACAACTTTGTACCTGTAGACAACAATAATGTATTATGCACTTAAAAATCTAAAAGGTTATAAAGTCATGTTTTTTTTTTCTTATTAAATGTTAGCTGTGTACATTAATGCAATCATGGGGTACAGTGTGATGTTTTCATATACAATTTGAAATATTTTCATCAAACTGGTTAACATAGCCTTTATGTCATTTTCTTAGTTATTGTGTTAAGACGTTTATATTCTACTTTTAGAAAGATTCACTTGTACCCTTGAAAGATAAACCATAGAGGTGACCCCACAAATCACTCTCCTTCCCCTCTCTCCTCCCCTGCCCCTTTCCCCCTCCCCATTAAAAAAAAATCTAAAGGGTTTGATCTTGTGTTAGGTGTTCTTATCACAATCTAAAAAGAGATAACATGAAAACGTGAATCCAGAAAATCATAATATCGTTTGGAAAAAAAATGCCTCTATGAAAATACTGTTCATCTTATATTTAGGCCAGAAAAATGTCCCTGAAACAAATTTATAATGAGGAGATATGAAACAGAAAATAGAGATGGCTACAGAGTGTACACCCCAAATTTAATGAAGTTATATGACAAGAAGATGGAAAAAGAATTCACAAAGCATAGTAAACAACTGGTCCTCTTTTATGAATGAACATATGAAAAGACAATATTCAGTAGAATTTGATGGATTAAGTCAGTATTTTTCTCAGAAATTGTGATGATTATTTTAGACCTCTTGGTAGAAGTATTCAGAGTAAATTCAAAACAAAAAGAAAAAAAATATTCCCCCCAATATTAGGTCAATTAGCCAATGCTGATTTGTTTAAATAATTGAAACTATTTCTAATCATATCAATGAAATTTTTAAAAGCCTTTTATTTTAAATGCAAATACAGCATTCAAACTGCAAGTGTTTTTCTTTTGAAACAATTGAATAAACTCTAAAATACGTTTCTTGTTTCACCCATGTTTTAACATGATTTATCCGATTTGAAACAAGTTTTGGACTTAGGGTTCTCTAAAACCTCTTCCTGTCTAAACAAGTCATATTATTCCAAGGTGCAATAAAATAAAGAAAAATGCATAAAAGAGATAATTTTTGTTAATCATTATGATGTGGTCTTTTCAATGTAGAAAAGAGTGAGAGTTTTCATTGAGATAGAAGACTCTCAATCTACATAGAGAGATGTATTTGAAGAGTAACTATTTACTTGGTATTTCCAACTAATTTATAGTATTTGTCTTTCTAGATACTTAAATCATAATATTGATTTTATAGACATGTTGGGATAAGACCTATATCATCAGAAGAGTCTGCACCTTATGATATAGTTCATTGTTCCATAAGTACTTAAAATTCTTTTCTAAAAGAGACATGTTAAAAGTTTCAGTAAAAAATGGAAATGCTAACACATTAATGTAAATAATAGTTATTTTACATCTAGAGTGCATGTTGCTGTGGCAAATAGCATAGTAGGTTATAATAAAATTAGGAATAGAATATGGACTTAAGAAAATAATGTGACTATTAGTTGAATACATACTGTACCAGGTCGTGGATAAGGAATTCTTCCATCGTACTGCACCCACCGGTGGTCTGCACTCTCCTTATGAGCATACGGACCGTTAAAAACGGCTCTGATGTCAGCCATGCTATACACACAAACAGCAGAGCCTTTAAAGATGGAACTGAAAGAAAGGGACATGATTGAATCATTCACAGAGTCATTCAATCACATGCAGCGAGCACATGCTACCACCAGATACTCTGGAAAAGTGTACTTGTATATTCCATTTGATAAGTCCAGCAGAGAAAATGAGCTTATGTCTTCAAGTTGCTTTACCAAACAATTACAAAAGTGTAATAATAGCTAGATTACTGGTAATTATAGTCAGTTAAGTGGCCTCTGGATCAGAACCCAGTATAGGGCTGCAGGGAGCAGGTGCTTGACACCTGATCAATAATAGATATTATCTAGAAAAACTGAAGGATGGAGGGGAGAATGCAGAAAAGAGTATTATATTAATCCATATTCTTGAACTTTATTTGAAGTTATTATAGCATGATATCTTTCAAAGAGTTTATAAAATAAAAAAGGTACATGACGTAATTTTTAAAAAAGGAATCATTTAGATATGTGAATAATAATCATCTCATCCATTTCCTTTCTTAAAGTGGATGAATGGCCACAAATATTGACTCTTAAATAATTTATTCATATGATTTTTATTAAACTTATTTTAAAATGTTGAAATAATCTCTTTTCTTTTTAGTGCTTCTTTAATTTTTGATTTGTGTTACAGTAATTGTCTGACACTTACAGTCATCATAATTATAGAGTATTTGAAGAATTAAGAGACAAAAATTACCAGACCAATTTTACAAACTTTTTCAAACTAAGAAAAAAAATTGTTAACACTCATCATGTTTTTTTTATTACTGGATGTTGAAAAGCCATTTTCATTGAGTCTAAAACTTTCAGTGACTCTTGTTCTTAAAAATGAGATCATGCTTAATGAACCAAGGGACGTATCATCTGAGCATTATATGCATGAACTCATGACTCTCTAACATGAGTAACTCAATTATTAATATTGGAATGACATGGGGAAGGTAATGGCAAACAGGCAGCTGAGAGAAAAGCAGCACTGTGAAGAGAGGTGACATTTTCATAAAAATCACATCATCTGCCTGTGACTTTGTAAAGGAATGGTGCATCATGCTTCCTGGCACTGCCATCGCGCAGGCTACGTATGTCTTCTCACTGGAGGGAGGATGTGACGTGCATTCCGACATTACCTCAGTCTTCAGGACAGCATTAAAAATAGAACAATAAAGTACACTGAGAACAAAGAGCTAACTTGTAACTTCACACTCTGGGTGGGCAGAAACTTAATAGGAGAATAAACGAACTCTCTTGGGGCTACATTTTCCTGGCACATAGCAGTGGCTTGTGTGTGGAACACACGGTGACTTCAAAGAACGGCCTGCCACTGGAAGGATGCCAAGAGAACGCGGGCTGCGATACCTGACTGACTACAAGCCCTTCTTCTGGTACCTTTAACATTCAGATATAAATTAACACAAAAATGGAGTAAAAACAGCAGCCTCTTGGGGTATCTTCTTTATTCTCATATTTCATATTCACATTTTGTATCTTGTATCTTGTAATTAATAAAAGAGTATTTTGTGTCCTGATATACAGAGGGTGCCAAAAAATGTATACACATTTTAAGAAAAGAAAAAATCTGCATTAAAACTGTAATACCTGATATATACTGATAACAGTAGAGGAATGCAGGTCACGTTGGACTTCTACAATTACAGAGGTGCTCTAAGTATGCACCGAATTTATAATAAGTAGATAACATCTCTTATAATACCTATACATTTTTTGGCATTCCTGGTTTTCTGAACCAATAGTCCATTTCAGTTCATAACAAAGTATTGTGATCACGTCACAGAAAAGTATTGAACTATTATTTGCGTATAAAATAGCTTAAGGATTTATTTAAAAGGACAAAATACAACCATTTCTTCAATGTCAAAATCAATTCCTTTAATTCCTCCAATACTGACATCAGTAAACAGTGATAAGAAATTTATAGCAGAACTGTGGAAGAAAGTAAAAAGTATTTCCAAGAACGTAGGCAGTCACATGCAATCGGACTAAGAATGTGCTTTGAAGATAGTCAAGTGTAAGTTACTGAACTAAATAAAATTTAGACAGTGAGGCTCACTTATTCTTTGAGAAAGCTTGACAGATGCGGTAATACAACTATTAAGAAAGTCAGAGACTTGATGATAAGCTCAGAACAGCATTTTGCGGAAAGAAGACAAGAAAACAGAAGCAGAAACTAAGAAAAGGTCCTCACTTCTAGACCATTTTTACTGACAATTGGCTGCTTTTCTTTGAGAAACTAATGCAACGTTCCTTGCCTAAATTAGGAAAGCAGTAAAATAGCTGTAACAGTCACACTTCTATCTTTGTGAAATAACAGAGAAGTGCAAATAAGACCGCACATAATGATGCTTTAAAAGTTGAGAGTGTCCGTCTCAAGGTTATAGCCTAACTGATACAATTAATCACTTATTCATGTGTTTCTTTTATACTCCTCTCACGACATGAAGTCTGAGTATTTATTATGTTCAGTACACGCATATACCTTTTGTATCCAGAATATTTGTTATGTGAATTTATATCATACGTACACTTGTTCATCTGGGGAATGGCATGCAGATAGGTTCAGCCATTGAAACAGAATGAGCAGCAGCAAAAGATTAGAAACAACCTAAGTGCCCATGTATAGGTGCCTGGTAAGATAAATTGTAGTAATAAACATAGGGGCAGCTATGCTGGTATAAAAATAAAAATAATTTCTATATTGGTATTAAAATATTTCTAAGAAATACTAAATAAAAAATTAAAATAAAGAATGGGAAGCACAGCGCCTGTAGCTCAGCAGCTAAGGCGCCATCCGCAGACACCAGAGCTGGTGGGTTTGATCCAGGCCCAGGGCCTGCCAAACTGCAATGACAACTACAACAAAAATATAGCCAGAGGCTGTGGTGGGCACCTGTAGTCCCAGCTACTTGGGAGGCTGAAGCAAAAGAATTGCTTAAGCCCAAGAGCTTGAGGTTGCTGTGAGCTGTGACTCCACGGCAGTCTACCGAGGGCGATAAAGTAAGACTCTGTCTCTAAAAAAAAAAAAAAAAGTAAAATAAAAAATGTGTATGTGTGTATGGGAAACTGCTACAAAGGCTGAAACAAAAAGATCATATATCTGTATTGGCTTACATACATATAAAATTCTCTAGAAAGATTAAAAGCATTTTATTGTACATACCTGGTTGTGGTAAAGACTCCATACACTACAGGATTTCTTTCATCTCTCGTAGGGAGTAAATAAATGTCTTCTATTAAGGGGGGAAAATAAATATTTACTGTATTTTTATTTTTCAGTATTACTTGTTCGCTTTTTCTCCAGTAATGCATTGTTTCTGAAACTCTCAACAATATCAATATAACAAGAGTCATTATATTATACCTCAACAAGTTACGGGTAAAAGATTGTGTTTATTCATGTGACACTGAGTTGGGTATTTAACGTCTTAGATTTTTACTTCAATAAATAGGATGAGTCAATTGACAATGGCTCTTTCCATTTATAAATCTTGGATTTTATATAAAATATAAACCAGAAAACATGTAATTTTTACCTTCCAGTGTAAACTTTTGTCTTGTAACCGTGTCAACTTGTTAGCAATTTAATTAGTAACAATATGAAAATAGTTCCACAAGTATTAATTAGTACAGAATTGATAGTAAAGTAAGTGTAAACAACATTCTTCAAAAGATTATTTCAGATGAGTGTGGTAATCTACAATGTGAGAGTTCATACATGAACACTGAATATATACTAATATTTTAATACTGTAAAACATAATACTGATGAAATCATCAGTGATACAATCATTTTTACATTACATGGCAAAAACAAAACATGAACAAGTTCAAGAAGATGAAAGTTAACAACCCTAAACTTACATACAACAACAACAAAATACTTCCTTTAACTTGAAAGGAGCTTTGGAGGAGTGAAGAAGAAAAACAAAATAGAAGAATCTGCTTATTGCCTCTCTGAGCCTGCTTTTCCTTAGTAAATTAGAGGGACAGTGTTCGCACATCTCCCGTATTCTCCAGTAGAGGGCACCATGAAATAAAGAACCCAAGTTCTTTCTACCTGTAGAAGGTGGTTCCAACAAAAATGTAGGCCTGCACATAGATGAACATTGTTGTGCCAGAGTTCACATCTTTCTCTCTCTTGCAGTAGTTTTGTTTCCTTCGCTTACTTTGAGAAAGCTTACAAAGAAAGGAGTTAGTTGGTTGCTATGTGTGCCCAGACTTAGAGCACGTCCTTGGTGTGTGTTTACTAAGAACCACTACCACACTCTGATATGCTGGACTATATATAATCAGGCATTGGGTGCTAAAATAAAACATGAGCAAAATTGCTTCACAAGAAAGAAGGAATGTGTGACTTACGGAGCTCATCAAAATAAGTATCTGCCCCATCATTTCCAGGAATTGAGCAGATCAATCTGGCCTTCAGGAACGTTGTCCATTTGTTTATTAGACTGCGTTGTCCTCCAACATCATTCTGTAAAATGAGAAGAATCTCGGTAAAGATTTACCAACATGATTCTATCACCAACCCAAACTGGTGGTTGTCACAGATAGTGCCTTATAAATACCTTTGTTCACAAAGACACAGAGCCTACGTGTTTAGACCTGGAACTTTTAAAATGCTTTTCTCATGGCTATGTGAATGCAATGCAGGCATTTTGACTGTACTGAATGAGGTGATGCATGCAAGGCCACAGTCAATAAATGAGGCGGGCTTGGAATCAAATCTCACCTCTGCCAATATTTGCTCCATAACCTACAAAAGACTGTTTAATTTTTTAAGTCTCTGTTTTCTCATTGATAAACTATGGTATGCCTTGAAATATGATTAGTTAATGCCTTGAAATATGATTTTTTTAAAATATATATCATTTAGAGAGGGAGGTTTTGCTATGCTGCCCAGCTAGGAGTACAGTAGCTATTCACAGGCATGATAATCTAATCTCACACTACAGCCTGCAATTTCTGGCTTCCAGCGATCCTCCCACCTTAACTTCCCAGGTAGCTGGGACTACTGGCATATGCCACCACATCCAGCTGAAATATGTAAGAAATATGATGATTAAATGAAAAAATTATGTAAAGTGCTTAGCACAGTGCCAAGAAACTTGACCAGTAAGTGCTAATACTGACTTGTATCTTATTTAAAGGATTGAAAAGAATATTTGCATATTTTAGAAATATGTCTGTATATAGGTTTAAAAATATTCTTTTCCAAATGTAGGGTCCTTCTAATTAAACTAAGGCAACATGAACATATATACATAATGACACATATATATATACATTTTTTAAATAATATTAACCTATCTTTTCCACATTTTATTTTTACTCTAACATCTTTCATTAAAAATGTTCTTTAGACATTTAGGAAAACATTTATTTCAATTAAATAAAATATACGACATTATGCATCCCCAAACCACAGCTTCTTGACCACAAAAATGTATTTCTTATTTTTAAATTAATATACCCATGTGAAAACTAAGTATGAATTCCAATTATTGGACTCAATTAGCTCTGCTGTGCTTTTAAAAAATAAAATGAGACTGACTGATTCATAGAATAAATATATTAAGTACTTAATTTTGACTTTCAAAAATTATTTTTAGAGCCATGTTTTCCACTAGTCTATTTATATTTTTGAATAAATTATATAAAACTTTTCATCCTTCAGTCTATGTTCTACAAAGGTAATGAAAAGTTAACTGTTAGGTTTCAAGTCTAAATTTCTAGGAACTATCTTCTCTATGCTTTTTTTATCTCTGAAATTAAATGAAATTACAGAAAAGCATCTAAATGATTACTCCAAACAAGACAATTCAAAATCATTATAAATATTTACTATTTTTGAAGAAAGAGGGATAGAAAGAGAAGGGAGGCTGAAGACCCATAGGTTTCTTTATCGCCTTAGCACCTAACACAAAGGGTGTATCTGCTGTATGTGACACCCAGACTGTGAATTGTTTTTTCCATTCCCTTTCACTATATAACTGAATAATGTTAACTAATAACTCTGTACAAATTAGTAATAATTACTATCTTCTTGATTTGTTCCTGAGCCAGGCGTGGTAGCTCATGCCTGTAATCCCAGCTCATGCCTGTAATCCCTCCCTCTGGGAGGGTAAGGCAGGGGGAATCCCTTGAGTTCAGGAGTTTGAGATTGGCCTGAGCAAGAGCAAAATTCCACCTCTAAAAAATAGAAAACATTAGCCAGGCATTGTGGCATGCCACTGTAGTCCCAGATACTCAGGAGGCTGAGGCAGGACGATCGTTTAAAACAGGAGTTTGCAGTTTCTGTGAGCTACGCTGACACCGCGGCACTCTAGCCTCGGCAACAGATGAAACTCTGTCTCGTAGATAGACAGATAAATAAAAACAAGTGACAATTTAAAAAGAATAATTTTGAAATTTAAAAGCATTAAAATTCAAGAAAATATATCAGATATGAACTAACAAATTGGCACTTGAATAAAGTATCATACTTAACAGTTTGCATTATATCTCACAGTTTTAAATTTTAAGTGATTTCAAATGATTATGAACTTACTCTTAGAACATATGTGTAGGTATGTTTATGTGTGCTGACTATACTCATACCTGTCCATACATATGTACATGAGGTCTGACAATGAACTCATCCTGGAAAAGGTGCTATATATCTCATTGCTGAATATCACTATGGTGACCTTCCAAGTACTCCCCTGGGGAAGCTATGCACCAATGCCAGTGCCAAGTCAACACTTCAAGGCAGTTTTGGAACTCTTTTTCTGGAATGATGATCAAAGCTGTCCTTGTATAGCACACAGAAAACGCAACAATAATGAACGTCACTCAGCAAGATACCACCCCATGTTGACCTGAACACAGCTTGGAGACACTGACATACCAAGGTTACGAAACCTTACCAAATTGTCTGCATAGTGCAGCCAACATAAGTACATGGTGGTAAGTTTGCTAACTTAGTTGTCAGACCTCCCTAAGGCAACAGCTCTGATGGTCATTCCAGTAAAGGAGTTCCAAAATTGCTTGGAAGAGTGAACCAGCACTGGCATTGGTGCATACCTCCCCCAAAAGAGTACTTCAACAGTGACCATAGTGATACTCAGCAAGGAGGCATGTAGCACTTTTTCTAGGATGACTTTGCGAACTTAATTGTCAGATCTCATAAGTGATAGAAACACAGTGGTAACCACAGCAGTCGCTTAGAACCTGGACCAAGGACCAACAAGACTTTTCCAGAAACAGTATTTCGTCACTGATATGATTTAGTATTGCTGACATGTAGTAATAATAAAAAGCACAAAAACTTTTAGTTCGTTTTCTAATATTTTTGTTATCACAAGAAAATCCACTCTCTTTTTCCTTTCACTCAACCTATTCCAGATATGTCACTAGCACCCTGCCTATCAGGCAGTTAACAAATACATGTTTAATAGTCACTGAATAGCTAAAAATACCAGTTAAAATTAATAAAAGTCTTCAGAAAGCCTGAGCCAAAAATTAGAATTACCACCTGTACTCCTAGCACTCTGGGAGGCCGAGGAGGATGGATTGCCTGAACTCACAGGTTTGAGACCAGCCTGAGCCAGAGTGAAACCTCCTCTCTAAAAACAGCTGGGCGTCGTGGGAGGCACCTGTAGTCCCATCTACTTGGAAGGCTGAGACAACAGAACAGCTTGAACCTAAGAATTTGAGGTTGCTGTGAGTTATGATGGCACAACACTGTACCAGGGGTGACAAAGTGAGACCCTGCCCCCTCAAAAAATTTCGAATCACCTCTGAAATTTCTTTGTAGCAGGAAAATGAGGAAAGGCTTCTTTGAAGACCTTTTTTTGCTTATCTGTGGTGTCAGATATCATGAAGAGTGTGCATGGGACATTTTGTTGTTGTTGTTGTTCACAGGCTTTTGTTAGTGTTTGTGTATTTACTATGTGGTTGAAGAGAGTTCTTACTCTTCCAGTGTGCAGCAGGAAAGAAAAAAAGTTTGGATACCCCTGGACTACATAGTCAGAAGTTGGTTCAGAAAATACTTAGGCTTTAGGATAGAAACCAGTGAAGAGCACAATGAGTAGAACAGTCAAGAACAAAAAAGGGAGAAACAGGACAATTTGGGCTTAGATGAAGAATGAGATCATTAAAATAGTGGAGGAAAATGTTATAAAAGTAAATTGAGCTGAGATCAAGGAAGGCTTTAACGCCAGGCCAAAGTGTCTGTATGTTATTAAGTACACAGGAAAGCACACGATGAAGAACTACTAACGATTTAGTAGTTGACCAAGAAGTGAAATATCTGAGTTCTCTTATGAAAAAAAAAAAAAAAACCACATAAGATATTCTATATAATGACATTCTTATATAAGCATGTCTGCATTTGCCCCTAATTTTGTATCGTGTGTATGATGCTTTTACTATTTGAGTAGCACTGCTCACAAATAGAAATAGTATTCTAGCTATTGGATGACTTCAGATGTCTGCAGAAGTGAAGGCAGTTTTAACTAGATGAAATTATTTGTAATGATAATATCCACAGATAATTTTCAAAATAAAATCTAGATGTTAATAAGAATGTGCAAAAATATTGAAGCCCATTGACCCTCTTAAGGTTATAATGAATTCTGTGTTCATGTATGCTAGAATTATAGTGAGGAAATGTAAATAGGGAATTAGCAGAGATTTCAAATAAATTTTTAAAACATAGGTTATTTCCACACCCTTTTCATGACTTCAATTAATATCTTTTTAAAGTCTCATATCTGACCTTTATACCTGAATGTTTTTCACTAAATCTCTATTTGTACTACGCAGAGCCTTAGTCAAATATTTGTACTTTAATCTACTATTCTTACATATTTATGTAATTTATTATATTTTGTTTGCGTATATTTGCATACTTTTAGAGGATCAGCAATGAAAACTAAAATCAGTGCTGATTCAATATATATAAAGAAATACATCCATGCTCCAGAATACTGTGCCAGGGACTGTATATGGTTTACTTTTTTTTATCACAGAATAGGTGCTCAAATTATTTTGCTAAATGAATAAATAAATCTTTAGAATATTCACTGAACATTTGTTTTACAGGTATATATAACACTACTTCATTATGAAAGTGAGCAGTCCTAATTTCTTCTAAGCAGTCTATTTTATAAAAGTGAACATTTTCTATTTACAAATATTATTTGTATTTATGTAACCAAGAGAAAATTTGGACTATTGTAGTAGCTCCAGATTTGTTGGCTAAGAAAGGGATCTACACCGTTTTTAACTTGGCAAATAGAAATTGTGATTTCTCTTAACAAAATAATCTCTAAATGCTCTTGCCTACCTCTCCAACAGCCTTTGCTAGCCCCTCAAGGAATCAAAAGATAAAAACAAAGCAAAACAATCCAGGTCAAAGCTGTCAGCCACCTGCTGTCAACAGAGAAACAAGTACAGTTTCTGGATAATAGCTCTCAGGAATGGATTATA